ACCATACTGCAAAGGGACAGAGAGAAGTAAGATTTGACTACATGGTTCAGTGGACGATTTATGCTTTCGTGGAATTAAGAGATCTTGAAAGCGGACTTCACAGAAGAGAGAAAAGGCAAAGTTGGGTGTTAATGGTGTAAGAATTGTTCTCTTTTTTAGGTGGAGTTAAGTGCCTCAACTTTACATGTGCACTAACATTATAACATTAACCATTTTCCATCAGCAGCAGCGACATAGAAGATCTGAAACCCAGCAGTGGTCAGGAAGATGGTTATCCTGAATCCAACGCCACCAAATGATTTTGTTTCTGGAGCCAAATGCCCGGGAATGGCAGTAAAGGAAAAATAAAACTGTATTAACTTAGTTCCCCAGTAAACTACGCCTCCTCCACACACAAAGTTTACCTCACTTTCAGTCTCTCTCTCTCTCACTTCAGTGCTGTGTCTCTCTCTCACACTCAGTGCTGTGTCTCTCTCTCACACTCAGTGCTGTGTCTCTCTCTCTCACACTCAGTGCTGTGTCTCTCTCTCACACTCAGTGCTGTGTCTCTCTCTCTCACACTCAGTGCTGTGTCTCTCTCTCTCACACTCAGTGCTGTGTCTCTCTCTCTCTCCACACTCAGTGCGGTGTCTCTCTCTCACACTCAGTGCTGTGTCTCTCTCTCACACACTCAGTGCTGTGTCTCTCTCTCACACACTCAGTGCTGTGTCTCTCTCACACACTCAGTGCTGTGTCTCTCTCTCTCTCTCACACTCAGTGCTGTGTCTCTCTCTCACACTCAGTGCTGTGTCTCTCTCTCACACTCAGTGCTGTGTCTCTCTCTCTCACACTCAGTGCTGTGTCTCTCTCTCACACTCAGTGCTGTGTCTCTCTCTCTCACACTCAGTGCTGTGTCTCTCTCACACTCAGTGCTGTGTCTCTCTCTCACACTCAGTGCTGTGTCTCTCTCTCACACTCAGTGCTGTGTCTCTCTCTCTCACTCAGTGCTGTGTCTCTCTCTCACACTCAGTGCTGTGTCTCTCTCTCTCTCTCTCTCACACTCAGTGCTGTGTCTCTCTCACACTCAGTGTTGTCTCTCTCACTCAGTGCTCTCTCTCTCTCTCACACTCAGTGCTGTGTCTCTCTCTCTCACTCAGTGCTGTGTCTCTCTCTCACACTCAGTGCTGTCTCTCTCTCACACTCAGTGCTGTGTCTCTCTCTCTCACACTCAGTGCTGTGTCTCTCTCTCTCTCACACTCAGTGCTGTGTCTCTCTCTCTCACACTCAGTGCTGTGTCTCTCTCTCTCACACTCAGTGCTGTGTCTCTCTCTCTCACACTCAGTGCTGTGTCTCTCTCTCTCACACTCAGTGCTGTGTCTCTCTCTCTCACACTCAGTGCTGTGTCTCTCTCTCACACTCAGTGCTGTGTCTCTCTCTCACACTCAGTGCTGTGTCTCTCTCTCACACTCAGTGCTGTGTCTCTCTCTCACACACTCAGTGCTGTGTCTCTCTCTCACACTCAGTGCTGTGTCTCTCTCACACTCAGTGCTGTGTCTCTCTCTCACACTCAGTGCTGTGTCTCTCTCTCACACTCAGTGCTGTGTCTCTCTCACACTCAGTGCTGTGTCTCTCTCACACTCAGTGCTGTGTCTCTCTCACACTCAGTGCTGTGTCTCTCTCACACTCAGTGCTGTGTCTCTCTCACACTCAGTGCTGTGTCTCTCTCTCACACTCAGTGCTGTGTCTCTCTCTCACACTCAGTGCTGTC